AATGCATAAAGCATGGTGTTATCATCTATGTGACATTCCACACCCCATCCACCACTCCACTAATGCCTAGGCATGGTCCTAGAGTCTATGTGACATTCCACTCACTATCCACCGCTCCACTAATGGCAAGGTATGGACCGAGAATCTATGTGACATTTCACACACTGTCCACAATTCCACTTATGCCAAGGTACATTCCTAGAATCTATGTGACATTCCACTCACTATCCACCACTCCACTAATGCCTAGATACAGTCCTACAATCTATGTGACATTTCACACACTGTCCACCACTCCACTAATGCCTAGGCATGGTCCTAGAGTCTATGTGACATTCCACTCACTATCCACCACTCAACTAATGACTAGGTACGGTTCAAGAGTCTATGTGACATTCCACTCACTATCTACCACTCTACTAATGCCTAATTACGGTCCTAAAATCTATGTGACATTCCACTCACAATCCACCACTCCACTAATGACGAGGTATATTCCTAGAATCTATGTGACATTCCACTCACTGTCCACCACTCCACTAATGCCTAGGCATGGTCTTACAACCTATGTGACATTCCACTCACTGTCCACCACTCCACTAATGCCTAGGTACATTCCTAGAATCTATGTGACATTCCACTCACTATCCACCACTCCACTAATGACGAGGTATATTCCTAGAATCTATGTGACATTCCACTCACTGCCTAGGCATGGTCTTAGAATCTATGTGACATTCCACTCACTATCTACCACTCCAATAATGCCTAGCTACATTCCTAGAAGCTATGTGACATTCCACTTGCTATCCACCACTCCACTAATGCCTAGATACATTCCTAGAATCTGTGACATTCCACACACTATCCACCACTCCACTAATGCCTAGATACATTCCTAGAAGCTATGTGACATTCCACTCACTATCCACCACTCCACTAATGCCTGGATACATTCATAGAATCTATGTGACATTCCACTTGCTATCTACCACTCCACTAATGTCTAAGCATGGTCTTAGAATCTATGTGACATTCCACTCACTATCTACCACTCCACTAATGCCTAGCTACATTCCTAGAAGCTATGTGACATTCCACTCGCTATCCACCACTCCACTAATGCCTAGATACATTCCTAGAATCTGTGACATTCCACACACTATCCACCACTCCACTAATGCCTAGCTACATTCCTAGAAGCTGTGTGACATTCCACTCACTATCCACCACTCCACTAATGCCTAGATACATTCATAGAATCTATGTGACATTCCACTCACTATCCACCACTCCACTAATGCCTAGATACATTCCTAG